TCGTTTACCTTAGTTAAACGAAATCGTGGTACCATGAGTTTGGACTTAGTTCTAAGGTTAATATTATGGATATCTTCTTTCTTAACGATATTATGTATGTTTTTATGGGCTTTTAAAATATTTGAGTAAATGTACTGTGATGCCACAGTCATGATACCAGTCTCCTGAAACTTTTCTCTGAGAGAAGGTAGAGAACCTAAACGCTACACAGAACAGTAGCTACCACTGCCTTATCCTGGAAGTGTCAAAGATAATTATTAGCTCTGTTACTAAGCGCCTTTGAGCACATCTTAAAGAAATCGTTTACTTTTGTTGATTGCATTGCACTAGCCGAGAGTTTAATTAACTAATCGTCTATTGAACCTCATGGTTTCAGAGCTTTACTCTGTGTGAGAATGAATTACGCAAAGTTTTAAATGAACGTAGCCTGTGCCACTTACCTCTGAACTAGCTGGTGTTGCAAGTAGGAGCGCGACGACACAGAGTGCCGCCGGACACCTTATCAACATCGTAAATCTGAAACAAGCATCATAAAGCTTAGAATTGTTAAAGATATACTCGTACTTACATTGTTCTTTACTAGCTTTACTACATTGTTCTTCTAACAGAGTGCTTGACGAAAACATTAAATTGTTTGGCGTCAAAATGTTGAGTTTCTTGTCTCGTAGACGACACAATATTTCTAAAATGGAGACTGAAAGTCTTTTATATTAAAGTACTAAAACTAAGCCAGCAGAAGGAGTTCAATGACAGTACATATTGCAGAAATTATCTTCAAAGCCAAATTCAAATAATCTTTATTTCATAGGTAAGCAAATTACACTTGAAATTGTCATACTGATTGAACTCTATCGCTCATTCGCAAGGCAGATTCCACTGAGAAGATTGAGCAAGAAATTCTAAGGATTGCTCTTTGTAAATATACATGTGCATACGTTTATTATTACAATATTTAATATAAACATCTTAGATCGAGACTACCTGCAAAAGCTAAACGGGTCACTACCACGGATTTTCGTCATTCAAGTACGCAGAAGCACCTTTAGTATACATTTTTTGTTTCTAACCTCGTAAATGTCAAATTTGGAATACCAGTCGGGATCTTATTATACTAGCGTATATATTGCCCTTAAATGAACTTGAGACTTATGAAGACGTCAAGAATAGCTAGTTTATTTTTATTCTTCGTATTAATGTTACATCTGTCGCTATTGTTCGTATTAAAAATATTTTTCTTAAAATTAATAACATTTTCACAAATGTACTGCGATGTTAGTGTAAGAATGTTAATCTCCTTAAACTTATCTCGCAAAGACACTCTGGGACACAGATTGTAAATTGCCCGTTTTTGCAGGAAAGATTCTATTAATATCGGCGGCATTACTCCAATGCTAAATGTAAACCAATCTAGCAGTTTCGACGTCTGAAAAATTGCGTATTCTTTTAATCGCGTGTACTGCAGAAATGAGCCGTTTTGATAACTTACTTATATGTGGACACCATTGCATTATATGTGGACACAATTTAGCATTAAAGTAGCATACCTAGAAATACAACGGTATCTACAAGGTTCAATTTTTCGTTTCTAACTATAGTGTTTATTTTCAAGGTTATTATCAAGCATATACAAAGCAATCTACTACTTTAGATATAGCATTATTCACATCGTCACTGTAAACGTATAGTTAGAACAAGATTCACTAAAATATCTTCTGCGTTATTGACGATATCGAATTCAATGGTGAGATACCAGTTGTTTTCTATAAATAGATTGTTGAAGCAAACAAATAAAGGTACTTGTACCAAGAGAAACTGGAAAAATAAATACGATTTCTGATATCAGACCGAGCGGAAAGCTCTCAAATAACCTGCGATAGCCATTTATAAGTGCGACAGCTAAGTCAGAAAGAAACTTCCTACGTGCTCTTAAAGGCGACTAAAATAAATGGAAATTATGAAAACACATGCACAAACACATTTCGTACAGAAGTTAATGTTGAACATAGTAGCGATAATTTTATGAGTGAAACTACTTTAAAATGAGATCATAAACATCGCTATTTCTTTGCTACGTTTGTGAATTGTTTTATGAATCGCGCTAATTTAATTAAATTACATATCAAGTTTTCAGGTTTTGTCAATTGCTACATAATAGAAAAAAACAAGTATACGCCATTACGAATCCGAAAAAATAGATTTATTTTTAATAAATTATTATTTAATCATTTATTCTTCAGGACTCACATAATACACATTTAACGAAAGGAAAGTATAGACTAAAGTTTCTATTTAAATCAGAAATTTCTTCCTGCAGACCTAACCAAACTTTCAATAATAATAACTAAAATAAAGTATCTTACGTGCACTTGAAATGAAAAAATACATAACATGAAAGCTTATATATTATTGAAAGGAAATTAGTTAATTGTACTTAAATTATTTATGCACGTAAACTGATGTAACTGATGTAATAATTAGGAAAAAAATGTTTAAACGTATAGACGTTTAGACGTATAGACGTATAGGACCGATACGTAATATATGGACATGTAAACTGAACACGTACGTGGGAATTTGCATTCCGTTTAAATCAATACCACATGAAAAATGTATTCGAATTCATGTTGACTGTTTACTCTTTCGAATTTCAGTTGGAACTCATCATAATTGACTATTGGCATTAATTAAGTCTGTTTAAACACGTAATAAATTAATTTGGCTTATTTGTGCCTAATATTGATGAATGGATATTCATTTACGTTGGTTAAGCAAACATTTTAGTTTTTGCACATTATTTAAGTTCGTACGTAATTGTTTCGCACCTCTTATATAACGCCACATCTGCAAAAATGACAACTTTTCAGGATACCGGGTTTAGAGATTCTACGAAATTAGTCGATAAAATTTTTTTTGCTTAAATAGGAGAGATAAAATTTAATAAACACTACGTACTGTTTGGTACATGAAAAAAACACTAAAATCCAGATAGATAAATCTAAACTGCCTACCCCGTATTACTTTTATGCTTTTTACGCAATAGAAGCACTTTTGATGCAAAATTACATGTGGTTTTATCCTAACAAAAAGAAAAAGACACAATTATACTTAACGTCTATTCCAAACTCTACCAGAGGTCAATGTCTACCAGTAATAAAATGACACAACCAGTTTACAAAACTACTAATAGAGAGCAGAGAAGAACTGTTTCATGAACAAATAGCATGTCATCATTTTGATTAAGCGGCTAGATGTCTAAATAATAACTAAAATACTACAGGTTGACGAAACACAGCTCTATTTCGCTTTGCTAGATACTGGACCGTAACAGGCAAACAATATTAGGCAATCGTTAAAGTGCTCTAGAGAAAGAGGTAGAGTTCGAAATCAATAATAAATTAATAGCAAAGTTAACTTTTTCAGTTATTAGGGTTGCCCTTTCCTTTAGAACGTTAAGCGAGTAACCTTATTATCCTATTACCCAAGGGCCGTCATGGACCGAAACTGTAACGTGTACGACTTTGTAACTTAATATCTAGGTTTTAAGGATTTAATTCGGGAGTAAGATATCGTCATCGAGTTTATATAAGAACCGAAAGAAAGAATTGTCTGTAGGAAAAAGGTCCCAACTGTGTTCAATTATGTTTCGTTAGCTTATATTGAATTGTGGAAATTTGTACGCTATTTCGTAACTGAATACATGAACTAAGTCCCCTGAGCTAATACTCAAACTAAGGAACTCGCTGTAACTATGTAATATAAACTAATCTAATATAATATACTATAATAATATAATATACCATAATAATATAATATATATATTCATCATTATATGCAAAATTTTCTAAACATTTTGTAAAAATTGTCTTCCGTTTGACCCTATTCTTTTAACAGTAACAATGATTTTAACGATTATCTGCGAGTCAGGCTTAGCTTAGTGCAGGAATCGTAGGAAATTATCTGTACGCGATATACCTACGCTACAATTGAGTTGCGTTTCCTGGTTCTTTGTCACAATTTAAATTGTAATGTACTTACACAATCTCATTGTAAATAAATTATTTTGTATGTATAACTCAGAGGCGAAAATTTTGATAACATTTTCAATATTTTTTTTTATCTTAGTTATTTTATTTTATTTTTGCTGTTATCTCTGGGTCACAGGTGCAGTGGCAGTGCCTCTCAGATTTTTGCGATTTAAAGCTCTGAGTAGCACTGCACCTGACATGGATAGGCGTGTCGCTTATCGCCAGGCGCATGACTTGTTCGTCCCGTCACTTGTTATCATAAAAAAAAATCTTTTTACTTTCTTTCTTACTACTTATTTCGCACCATCAGTGTATCAATGTCACATCTACAAAATGACAACTTTTCAGGAGAGAGGATTAAAGATTCTACAACCGATTTTTTTTAAATTATCTCACTGTGTGGCACTGCCGGGCAAAGGTCTCTCCTCTTAACGCTCGCAAACATCGCGTTGCAAGCAAGATGCTTATATACATACTCCACTGGAGTCTATACTTAGAATTTCATGTAGTTTTTTTATATATAGTATCAAGTGACGGGATGAACTAGTGTGCCTAATGGTAAGTTACACGCCTGTCCATTATAGTTGCAGTGCCACTGAGAGCTTTAAATCGCAAAGATCAGAGAGGCACTGCCACTGCGCCCGTCACTCTGACCCTTAAGTTGACAAGTCCCATGTGCCTGTAATTTCACCAGTACCCTTACCCTTTAAAACCGGAACATAGCAATGCTGACATTACTGCTTGTGGGCAAAAATAGGTAAGGAATAAAAACAGAAATAGGAAAGTAGTTGCTTCATTTCAAATTAACAAACAAAAATAAATTAAAGCTATCTCTATATACGCGCAGGTGACGCGCGTTTACGACGCGTATACTCGCGTTCGGCGCCGTGTATAAAATACGTCGTGTAAGTATCACTTTTTTAAATAAGTGTATCACGATGAAGACTTTATTACGTTGTAAAATTTCATAATGACTTTGTATGTAAGATCTTTGATAACGATACTTTCAAATAAAGAATTCCACCGTCTCCTTGATCACGTACCGTTCAAATAGTAGATCTAAATTAATTTCGAGCACAATGATGTAGTAAATTAGGAGAAGATTTGAAGGTGAAGTATCCCTTTAGGGTGGAATTTAAGCCACATCAAGCGTACTGACAATGCCATAAAATACGTGGTAAGTACAGACGCGGTGCCGAAAACTCGGGTCCAACCCTTATAACATCGTTGAAAAGGACGGCCGTGATACACGAATTTCAAAGAAACGGCGTCGAATATTGATTTGACACGCCTTGTGACAATTATGAAGTGTATAATATTGAGTTTATAAAGACCTACATCTACATCTAGGTCAATAGATTGGTCGAAGTGTGTTTTATATAGAATAGAAACATTGCATCTTATCTTATCATATTCTTTACTTAGGAATCGCGTATTTAGGGTGAAAACGCGACTGGTAGCAACAATATTTGCCCAACGCTTTGGGACCTT